AACCCCAACTCCAAGGGGGACCTGGAACCCCAAATCCCCACCTGGGAGGCCTCGGGACCCCCCTCAACACCCCAAACCCACACCAGGGAATCCCGGGACCCCCCTCAACACCCCAAACCCACACCAGGGAATGCCGGGACTCCCCTCAACACCCCAAACCCACACCAGGGAATCCCGGGACCCCCCTCAACACCCCAAATCCACCCCTGAGACTTCAGTACCCATCCACATCTCCTCCAGACCCCCAGCTGCCCCCGGGGTCCCCAATACTGACCCCAACACCCCCACACAGCTCTCAGCGCCCCCCAAATCCCCCCCAGCCCCGTTACCTCTCCCGCAGCTGCCGGGGGGTGACCCCGGGGGTCTCCATCTGCTGCCGGATGAACGCCCGGAGCCGCTCGGCCTCGCGGCCCAGGTTGGCGGCCGTCGGGCGGGCGCTGAGCAGGAACCCCAATTTCTGTGCCACAAACTCCTCCAGGGCCCCCAAATCCTCGGCGGGTCCCTCACCCCTGGCCAGCTCCACGGCCAGGCTSAGGCAGCCCAGCAGGGCGATGGCCGGAGCCCCCCGCACCTGGGGGGACAGAACAGCCCTGAGCCCCCCGGGCCGATCTGAGGGACCCCCAAACAAGGGGGTGCTTGGGGTCACTGCGGGGAAGGGAGGGGCGGCAGTTTTGGGGATTGGGGGCGGGGGGAGAGGGTCAGGGGGACGGGGGGTGCTGAGCGCTCGCAGTGACCCCCCAACACTCAGCGGCAGCGCGGGGGTCCCGGGTTGGGGTCTCGGAACGGGGAGGGTCCCAATCGGCAGTGGCAGGGTCGGGGGTGCTCGGGGAGGGTTTGGGGTCCCCTCCGATGGGGATTCGGGACTGGGGGCGGTCAGGAGCGGGGTTCAGCGGGCACGGGGGGATGTCCCCTCACCTCCATGTCGCGGATGGCGCCCCAGGCCCGCTCCACGCCCCCCACCCGCTCGTAGCGGAGCTGCCCCGGCAGCAGCCGCTGGTTCAGCACCTCCAGGGAACCGCGCCGGTA